GAATACTCTACCCAGTAAGACTCTAATTCATATTTGATAGAGAAATCAAAAGTTTTCCTGACAAGCAAAGTTAAGAGAATCTAGTACCACCAAACCTGCTTTACAACAAGTGCTAAAGGAAATTTTCTAAGCAGAAGATGCAAGAGAAGGAAAAGACCTACAGAAAATAAACACAAAACAATTAAGAAAATGGTTAATAGGATCAAACATACCAATAATTACCTTAATTGCAAATGGATTAAATTCACCAACCAAAAGACAGACTCACTGGGCAGATGAAAACATGTGAATATATGCACTTCCACTTACCACATCACTCTGCTTGACCCACCAAATTGTATGTAATTATTTTATATTGTTAGGTTAATCATGTTCCCATTATGGCTTGCAATTGTAATTATCTTTTATTTTTTGTCTGGCTATTGATTGTGAAAATAGATAAACATCTTTTATATTGTGATTATGTAACTATTATTGACTTAATACCATTGTATCATGATTGGTCAACAGAAAAATAATAGAACCCTATATCACAAAAATTACCATTTAATAGAAAATCCTATAATCACTTTTGAAAATCCAGATGCATATCACAATTATCTTGGAATTTTTTGAAAACTACAAATGCCTAGGTATTGTTTTTCTTCCACCAGAGCTTCATACATGTTGGTAATGAGCAGTCATGTTTAAAAACAATTGGACTATATGATGATCTTTTATTTTATCTAGTTTGTTTCACTTCTTCTATTTCATATTCAGTGCTTCCACTTCATTTAGTTTGTTTTTCATTTTCTCCATCTCTTTTTAAAAGTGTTCTTTCTTAAGACTTTATCAAGTGTAGTAGAAAAGCTTTTGTATACATATATGTAAATAATACATATAATATATATATTAGAAAATTTATGAATTTTTGCCTAACCAAAAAAATTTATGACATTTTGATTCCACTTGTTTGACTTAGTATGAATAGAATGCTAGATTTCTAACTAAAAATAGATATGCAAAAAAAAAAAAGGTTTACTGTATAACAAAGGGAACCATAGCCAATATCTTATAATAACCTGTAATGGAAAATAATTTCAAAAATAATATATGTGTATATGTATAATGGAATCATCTTGTTGTGCATCTGAAACACGGTAAGCCAACTATACTTCAATTAAAAATATATATATATTTTAAAAAAATTAAGAAAAAATGTGTAAATAAGTTCAGAAACACATCACCTCAAAAGTACAATTTTTGTGCAAATTAAAGCAAATAAAGTTTAATTTATAGCAAATTAAGTGGATTAATTAATGTGTCAATCATACACTTTAATATAAACTAAATCAAAAGTACCTTATTATGTTGAGTTAGTGAAAATGAAGATGAAACTACACTATGTGTACAAATAAACAGTATGTCTACAAACAAACAGTATGTTTATAAACAATCTAAGAATCAGACATTGCCCTCTAAGGAAATTTCTAATGGTGAGAGAGAGCAAATAAGAATGAGTTAGAACTAATTTAGGGAAATCTAAGCAGTATAAGGGAATATGACATTATTCTTTAATTTACCTTGTGAGGAATCAGAGTAAATATAGTTAATTCTAAGCATTTTAGGTGAAATCAAGCTCAAAATCACTCATTCATTTCAAATGAAATTTCTTATTGCCCCTTAGAGATATTCACATGTAACAGTTGATATATTAAAACAAGTACAGATTCAAGTGTAATCAAAAGGACCTTCTTGGGATAACTTAGAGTGTATCTAAGAGTTTATGTGAAATCAAGATAAAAACCATCCATTCATTTCAAACAGCTTCAGAAGTACTTTGTAAATTTAATGTATGCAAACAAGCTCAGAAAACATACATTCATCTCAAAATTTCCTGCTTCCCTCAGTCACTAGGGGGAGCTCCTCAGGCCTGGCACAAAGGCCGGTCTTTTCTTTCTGACAGACAGAAGCTGATTTGACTGCTGGCAAAATCTCAGCTCTCTGTCCCCCTCCAGAGGCTGAGTCCATATTTCAGCTCCAGAAACTAAGTCCTACTCTCCCATTTCAGAAGCTAAGACCCCACTCCCCACACCAGAAGTGAAAGATCCCACTTCCCCATCTAGAGGCTAAGTTCCCACCACATGCCCTACTGGCTAGGTCCACATATCCCCTTACGGAGGCTGAACCCCAGTTTTGGCTGCAGAAGTCACCTGATGCCACACAGACTACATCCTGCTTCTCTCATCTGAGTCGGTCTCTGCTTCTCCATCCAGAAGCTAGGTCCTCAGAGCTCTCATTAGAGGTTAGGTCCACACCCCTCCTTCTAGGGGCCGAGTCTGGACTTTGGCTCCCCAGGCAGTCCCGAGCTCTCACCTGAGAGGCGGCGCCCCTGCTGTCTCTCCAGAGGATGAGAACTCACTGCTGGCCCCAGAGCCTGAGTCCCTACCCCTCTTCCAGAGGCTGAGTCCCCATTTCAGATCCAGAGTCTAGTGTCAACTTGTGCTGCTAGCGATGTCCCCATATTCTGCTTCAGAGGCTATATACGTGCCCCTTGTCCCATAGTCTTCAATTGCTACTTTTCCTTGCAGAAGACAAGTCCTTGCATTCACAAGTACTTTTAACGGGGTGCCAACAAAACTACTGGAACCAGAGCCAATAAGTAACCTTCCCAGTTCTCTTCTCCTTAAGGTGAGTTAAGAGTGTATTTAGTAAAAATTAAGCAATATATTAATAAATACAAGCTCAGGATCAGACATTGTTTTCAAGAGTAATTGTAACTTCTTAGGCAGTCAGAGTATAGCTGGTCTAAATTAGTCAATGTATGTGAAATCAAGCTCAAAATCACTCACCCACTTATAAATGAAATTTATAAACTTCATAAGTGATATGTAAATTTTATATGTACAGACTTACTCAGAAATACATGTATGACACAAATATACAATCCGACATCACTCTACCTAACCCTCCAAACTGGAAATAATTATTTTGTATTAGGTTAATCATGTTTCCATTATGGCTTGTAATTGCAATAATCTTTTATTTTTTATCTTGCTACTGATTGTGAAAACAGATAAATGTCTTCTTCTATTGTGATTTTTGCTTAGTACAATAATTGCATCATGATTAGTCAACAGAAAATAGCAGAATTCTGTATCAGTAAAACTACCATTTAATAGAAAAACCTGTAGTCACTTTTAAAAATCCAGATGCATACCACAATTCTCTTGGAATTTTTTAAAAAATACAAACTCCCAGGTATTGCTCTTTTTCCTTCAAAGCTCCAGATGTGTTTCTAATCAGCAGCCATATTTAAAAACAAGTAGACTATATGATTATTTTTTATTTTTACCTAGTTTGTTTCACTTTTTCTATTTCATATTTGGTGCTCCCATTTCTTTTAGTTTATGTTTTCCAATTTCTCTCTCTCTTTTTTTTTTTGACATTTTTTCTCAAGTCTTTACCAAGCATAGTAGAAAAACTTTTGTATGCATAAATATATACATAAATAGTATGTATAATATATACATATTTTAGAAAACCTGTGAATTTTTGCCTAAATAAAAAATTTGACATTTTAATTCCACTTGTTTAACTTAGTCTGAATAGAATGCTAGACTTCTAATTAATATTCACTTGAAATTCTGAAATACTTCCATGTATTTTGGCATCTAGAAAAAAGTCCAAAAAGTTTATTATCTTAGTGATTAAAAAAATTTGAATTAGGCTTGACACTTCTAATCCAATTCTGAATATATAAAGAAATATTATGTTGCAAAAAAAGACAAGAAAATTAGCATGTGATATAGTATTATTAACTAAAGCACAGATTTTGTCCAAATCTCAAAAATACAAAAAAAATTATGGAAATTCAAAATATAAAAATATTAAAACATTAATTTTATTTTTTATGTCTACCTGAGTGGTCATATTTTCTGTAATGCATTGGAAATACATTATTTTTTTGTTGTTGTTAGGACATTTTAGTAAAGGTTAATATTGAAAAAAAAAGTCATGGGACTGGATGGGATTAACTGATAAATTCATTCATTCAAATATTTATTAAGCCCTTGTTTTGTGCTAAGCAGTGTTCTTCTAGGCACTACAGCAATGAACAATGCACAAAGAAAAATTCATATCCTTTGAACTCACATTCTAATGCGGAGGGATAATAAAACAACACATATACAGTATGTTAGCAATTAGTGTTAAGGAGAAAGGTGTTAATAAAACAGGGATGGGTGGGAAGGTTGCAGTTTTAAAAAAGGACAGCCAGGAAAGCACTCAGTGGGAAAATGTTACTTGAGCTTAATTCATGAAGGTGAGGCTGTCAGCCGTGCACACACCTGGACGACTAGCATTCTAGTCGTCCTTTGCAACAGCACATGCAAAGGTGCTGAGCAGAAGCAGGTCGAGTAAGCTCACGGAAAAGCAGGGACTGTGGCTGTAGACAAGAGATGAAAGTGAAAGTCGCTCAGTGGTGTCTGACTCTGCGACCCCACGGACTGATACAGTCCATGGAATTCTCCAGGCCAGAATATCGGAGTGAGTAGCCCATCCCTTCTCCAGGGGATCTTCCCGACCCAGGAATCAACCCGGGTCTCCTGCATTACAGGCAGATTCTTTACCAGCTGAACTACCACGGAAGTCCTGTAGACAAGACAGCCGGGATAAAGTGTTGGGAGATAAGGACCGAAAGTTAACCGGCTGGCACGCGGAGGAATGGGTGGTGAGGGTGAAGAGGAGCAGCTCTAGTACCGACTGAAGCTAGGAAGCCGTCCAACAAAGAGGATCCGAAAATAGCACCGCCCCAAGCTCCGCCCTGCTCTAAACTCATAACTCAGCGCCTCGGCGGGAACTCAAGGGCCAACTCCGGGACCGGAAGCAGCTTCCTACCCGACCCCATTTTGCCCGCGGTTGTATTTCCGGTAGCAGCGGCGGGAAGCGAGTTACTCGCCGCCTTCTAGGCCTCCGCTAAAGCGAATCCGGCGGGAATCCGAGCCATCAGAACCGCCACCATGGTGAGAAGGCGCAGACCAGCAGCACGGGAGTTCCCGAGTCTCTTGGGGGGGTGGGGACCGCGATTAACCGGGAAGGAGGTCATGGGTTGGCCGCTCAGGGGGTGAAAGGCCCTGGCCGCGGCGCCTCCGTCTCGGTAGGAAAGACTCAGACCGTCGTCCCTCGGTGGTTTAGGGGAGGAGAAGGGTGGAAATTAGGGACCGAGGCCAGAGTCGCTTAGTGCGCTCGAGGTTAGCGCTGGGGCTCTGCAAGCCGCTGTGGCCTTAGTGCTTGGGGAGCCCATAGGCGCTGAGTAAACTTTGCGGCATAAACGTATGTGTGGGGCTTCAGAGCAGGCACCAACGCCGTAGAAGGACTGAGGAAGACCCGGTAAGAGGCTCAGTCTTGTGAAGGGTGAGGGTCCGAGGAGTTGCGGAAAAAGATGGAAGGGCTTGTGGCCGCAAACAGTCTTGATTCCAGTAGATGGGGAGGAGGGAACGGAGGAAGAGTGAGCGGAGGAAAAGTTCAACTCTTTTGTGCAGCATACATTTATTTATGATTGAGTATGCCTGACTTTTCAGGCCCTGGGGCTACACAGTGAAGTGTTTCCTTTCTTCACCGAGTTCACTCTTATTTGGAGACACGGGTAACATATTTAGAAGTGGTAATTCAGCGTTAAGTAAAAGTAACGGCGGGGGCGCCTGGCAGAGTCCTAAAAGACTCACGCTTTCCCCCAGCGAAATTGCGAGAGAATAGTATAGATCTGAAGGACTGCAAGAACAAAGCGTGAAGGGTAGCACTGTTGAAAGTTCTTAGAGGAGAAAGGGAAGAATGGGGTGGGAGGAATTGGCGGGACTCTGATTAATCAATTAAATGCTTTACATGCTATTTAATTTCGTTGGTGGTAAGGGATGCCATTGAAGGATTTTTAACAAGCAAAAGGGCACGTACTTATTTGTGTTCAGAAAGATAACTGTTGTGTAGCTGTTATATATTGGGTGAACCGGAAGCAGGATGCTGTTTAGAGAGTTGGTTAGAAGAGTAGGCACTGGATTCAGGCTGACTAGCTTTCAGCACAGCTTAACCTCTTACAGCCTAGTGACCTCATCTGTAAAGTCTGATTTTAAGGATTAAATGAGATAAGTAGTGCTTGTGGCAGTGCCTGCCAGTAAGCACCCAGTGCGAATTAGCTGTGGAAGACAGATGGAGCAATAAATGTTACTGTAAAGGTTCAGACCCGAGTGGTTAGAAGCTGTGATTACAGTTTAGTTAAAATGGCCATGTAAAAGAAACTGCACCACATAAACTTGAGTCTTCAGGGTGACAAGAGTCAAGATTCTGATCCATGCATTTGTAGGTTTAGAAAACCTGTGCTTGTCCAACCTCACAGAGATGAATAGCAAGCACAGTGCCTGGTACCTCAAAGGCTCTTGGATGAGTTAGGACTGGTCAGACTAACGGGAGGCTGATATAACAAATGCCGGGTTGTTTATTCATAGAAATGTAACTGCCAAGGGCACTTGACAGTCCTCTTGTGAGATCTATATACTCTATTTTAGCAGAACTACATTTGAACCCAGGCTGTGAAGCCGAAAAGGTTGTTGGGTTAAGGAGTATAGCAGCTTACATATTCTCATTATGTGTTCAAACTCATTAACACTCTGACTAATAGGAGGTTTTCCATTTCTGAATGTAGTCTTGGAGACACACTAACATCACTGATTTGGGGGGTCCATTCTCCTCTTCTAAGCTGATCATCCCCTTTCTGATAACAGGCTCTTCATTGATTGGGTTCTTAGGGCCAGTCCCATTCCAGCTCTTTTACTTGGTCCTTTTTTTTTTTTTAAACTCAGTCTTTTTAATGGGATGGTGGTGTCCCACAGCACTGGAGTCCTGTAATCTGCACAGTGGCAGATGGCCACTAGTCTCTAATATGCATGGGTTTCAGTAGTTTGGAGCCATCTTACCCTCTCACTTCTGAAACATGCAACATTCAGTTCAGTTCAGTCGCTCAGTCGTGTCCAACTCTTTGTGACCCCATGGACTGCAGCATACCAGGCCTCCCTGTCCATCACCAACTCCCGCAGTTTACTCAAACTCATGTCCATTGAGTTGGTGATGCCATGCAACCATCTCATCCTCTGTCATCCCCTTCTCCCACCTTTAATCTTTCCCAGCATCAGGGTCTTTTCAGATGAGTCAGTTCTTCGCATCAGGTGGCCAATGTATTGGAGTTTCAGCTTCAGCGTCAGTCCTTCCCATGAATATTCAGGACTGATATCCTTTAGGGTGGACTGGTTGGATCTCTTTGCTGTCCAAGGGACTCTCGAATCTTCTCCGACACCACAATTCAAAAGCATCAATTCTTCAGCACTCGGCTTTTCTTTATAGTCCAACTCTCACATCCATACATGACTACAGCATAGACAAAGGTATACAACATAGACAAAGGCAATTGTTATATGAAAAAGATGATTTTCCGGGAAGGGAGAATAACAGGTCAGGTTTGAAAACAGGTGAGAGAATTCCTAGGAAATGGCTGTGGTTGAAAGATAGAACTGAGAATGAGAAAGACAAACAGAAAAGAAGGCTGCAGCAGAAGTTTTAAGGAAAGACAACAGGTTTGTGGGTCCAAAAGAGCTGAGTCTCATTCCTGCTGATTTCTTTGCAGACCGTGGGCAAGAGCAGCAAGATGCTGCAACACATTGACTATAGGATGAGGTGTATCCTGCAAGATGGCCGTATCTTCATTGGCACCTTTAAAGCCTTTGACAAGCATATGAATTTGATCCTCTGTGACTGTGATGAGTTCAGGAAGATCAAGTAAGGAGGGGCTGTGGGGGGAGGGGTTGAGTGGATGGGAAGTGCATTGGGTGGGTGGGCCAAGTGGTAGGTGGGGACCAGCTGGCTGGTTCCTCTCAGTTTGCTCTCCTGTTTTACAGGGCAGATTAAAATGGAGAGTTTCTTAAATCTCTTTCCTTAGTCTTGCTCTTTACTTCTAGCAGAGTACAAGTTGTAAGGAGGGCTGCCAGGCTTTTTATTTCTCTGACTTTGTGTGCCCCTGGGTACTGGGGTAAAGGGCTCTCATGTTCTCCCCACAGGTGTGTAAGGGGGGAGAGCTTGATTTTCTGTCCTCATTGCCTATTTGTAAAGCTGTAGCCTAAAGGGCTCTCACAGTGCAGCCTGGTCTGAAACTGCTTTAAGAAGCCTCTGACCCTCTTCAGGGTAAGTGCTCAACTCCCCTTGTGGGTTTGGGGCCAGTGATTTTTGTTGTCATTTATAGAAACAATTGGAGAATACAGTCCCATAATTTGTTAGATAATTCCCTTGTCTTAGGACTCACAGATCTTACGCTTCTAGCTTAGTAAAAGATGTGGTCTAGTGTTTTATTCTGTTTTACAGTCAAGGCATCTTGAGGCCCAAAGAAGTTATGTAATTTCCTTGACTATTCAGCTCTCTTGCCACTGGAGTGTCCATAGTATGTTGCCAGTGGCTGTCAATTCCCTTTGATTCTCTTTGGGACTTTTGTTTTCTTTGTGGCATGAGGTCAAGAAGTATAGGACAGAAAATGTAGTGATGGCTGAGTGCCAGGTGCACATTGGAGAGTGGCCAACATTTTTAAATGAGACTAACTTTATTCTGATAATGAAAATGTACCCATTGGAAAATATTTTTTAAAAGTACATGGAAATATATGAGAAAAAACTTAAGATACCCAGAAAGGATTTTTTTTTTAATTGTGAAAAGGCAGTACATGCTTTTTAAAAAAAATAAGATTCATAAAAGTTTTAAAAAAGAGGAAAAAATGATCACCCACAGGAAATTTATATAAAATATCATTAAAATGAAACCTTTAAGTAATTTTTAAAAATCAAGGTATTTTGTATTTCCTTTAATTTTAGAATATTGGCTTTGACTTTCCTTTCCCTATCTTGTTGCAGTTACTTTTTCCCACTCTATCTTGTTTGTATTTTGCTCATCTTTTCCTGCTTGTGGATATTTGGAGATTTGTTTTTGTTCTTTGAGGATAGAAATGTAATTTCTATGTAGCTAATCTCTTAACCTTTTCCTTTATGGCTTCTATTTCTAATGTGAGGTGAGAGACAGAGTTGTAGTTCTGTGGGGTTGAATTAATACTGGAAGGAGACTGCATGTAAGTAGAGTTAGTGGGATTCAGTTGACTTGAGGAATTGTTTCAACTGCCTTCCTGACATTAAGGCCTTAAGCTGAAGGAAGAAAAAGGGTAATAGCAACAAAGAGTTGACTGAGGAAAGGCTTTCACAGTGGCTTTGCGAGTGAGCCAGGGCTGGGCTTTCTTGACTCTTGTCTTATCTCTTGGTCTGTGCATCCTCTTGGCATGGGACACAACCAACTAATGGGGGGAGGTTACAAGTTTAGCCTGTCAGTAGATTTAGTGTAAAACAAGACTTGGAGGGCCCCTAGGTAGGTGAACATGAGCTTTACCCTTTTTCTAATGCTTATTTTTTTTTTGTTTGTTTCTTCTCCTAAACCTGTCTTTAGACCAAAGAACTCAAAACAAGCAGAGAGAGAAGAGAAGCGAGTCCTTGGTCTCGTGCTACTTCGAGGGGAGAACCTGGTCTCAATGACAGTAGAGGGACCACCTCCGAAAGATGTAAGTCAGAACTTGAGAGCCAGTGCAAGGCCAGGAGCCTTGTGCAAGGGAGGTGCCACCCTGAGCTGGGGCCTGTGTGGGGTTCTCTGTTTCATTGCAGTGCTCACAGGTATCTTCTGGTTTCTGTTTCCCTTATATGGATAATAAACCAGAATCTTTTTTTTGTTTTCCGTTTTTTTTTTTTTCTTTTTTTTTTTTCATTTATTTTTATTAGTTGGAGGCTAATTACTTTACATCATTGTAGTGGTTTTTGTCATACATTGAAATGAATTAGCCATGGATTTACATGTATTCCCCATCCCGGTCCCCCCTCCCACCTCCCTCTCCACCCAATCCCTCTGGGTCTTCCCAGTGCACCAGGCCCGAGCACTTGTCTCATGCACCCAACCTGGGCTGGTGATCTGTTTCACCCTAGATAATATACGTGTTTCGATGCTGTTCTCTTGAAACATCCCACCCTCGCCTTCTCCCAGAGTCCACAAGTCTGTTCTATACATAGGAGTCTCTTTTTCTGTTTTGCACATAGGGTTATCGTTACCATCTTTCTAAATTCCATATATATGTGTTAGTATACTGTAATGGTCTTTATCTTTCTGGCTTACTTCGCTCTGTATAATGGGCTCCAGTTTCATCCATCTCATTAGAACTGATTCAAATGAATTCTTTTTAATGGCTGAGTAATATTCCATGGTGTATATGTACCACAGCTTCCTCATCCATTCGTCTGCTGATGGGCATCTAGGTTGCTTCCATGTCCTGGCTATTATAAACAGTGCTGCGATGAACATTGGGGTACACGTGTCTCTTTCAGATCTGGAATAAACCAGAATCTTAAAGAGGTTACTTTGCAAGTCAGAAGTAAGGAACTAGGATTTGAGGGTTTGTAACTTTAAAGCCGTCTCTTCCTTAGTTGATGTACATAGTCAATAGAAGAGACACTTAAGGCCTCCTGGGTCAGTTCTTAATGTGATGACAGTCTAGTTGGACCATAAAAAATTGTAACTCCAAACAATAGAATACATGTATATTTTTTGTATAGTTATGGAATAATAGTTAATATTTAAGTTAATATTTAATTAAGCATCTGCTATTTGCCAGGCCCTTCAGTATTTAATCCATGTTGACAGTCTTTTGAGATAAATTATTCCCACTTTATAGATAATGCAAATTGAAATTTAGTAACTTGCACAAGCTGGAAAGTGCTGAAACTGTCATTTGATTCCAGGCAGTATTGGTAACATCAGCCTCCCTTTAGAAATAGAAGAGGCTTTAGAGAACCTAACCAAATTTGTTTTCCCTTTTTCATTTTAAGATACTGTTTGTTAAAGGAATAATCTTGTTACCTTGTTTTAATTTTTGTCCACATATATATATATGTTGGGTTTGTTTCTTTCTTACTTGTAATAGCTATGTATCATTCTGCTTTTTAACTTAACATTGTAAACATATTTCCAGTTGCTGTATTCAAAAGTCATGTTAATGACGTAAAGATACTTTCAAGTGAGTGCAGAGTAGTTTATCCTAGTTATTTCCTTCTGTTTAGACTCTTACATACAAAGGATGTTACCATGTTTCTGATTCAAGGCCTGTGTACCTATTCATAGCTTTGGTATCTGTTTCCAGTAGAATTTGCTACTCTGAATAGCCAATTGTAAACCTTCAGGACCACAGCCAGTTTTGTTAAAACCTCTTCATTGGCAGGTAAGGAAGCAGTACTAGAATGGTGGGATTCAGTTCAGTTCAGTCACGTCGTGTCTGACTCTTTGCGACCCCATGAATCGCAGCCCACTATCCCTACTATCACCCACCAAGTGAGAATCAGAGCTAGGTCTGGACCTCATATCTCTTTGTCAGGTCAAATACTCTAATCTGTCATAGACACCCTTTTGGGTGGAGACTTGGCTATGGGTTTATTTAATTTTCATAGGAATGCATATTGGTTGAGTTGTGCAGGTTTCTCTTGACTTAAAACTCTTAAGTTCTTTTAGCCTGCTAGGCATAATCTTGGATAGAGGAGGATTGGTGTTAATAGGAATGGATAGTGTTTATAAGAAGGTGTTTTGATGTCCTGTGAATCTGAGGGGTTCTCTTGGCATGATATTCCAAAGTGTACTTACTATTCTCTAGGCCACAAGCATATTAACATATATATTTATTTTTCAGACTGGCATTGCCCGAGTGCCACTTGCTGGAGCTGCTGGGGGCCCAGGGATTGGCAGAGCTGCTGGTAGAGGAATCCCAGCTGGGGTTCCTATGCCTCAGGCTCCTGCAGGACTTGCTGGGCCAGTCCGAGGGGTTGGTGGTCCATCCCAACAGGTGAGGAGTTGGAGGAAGGGGCACCAGCTTCTGTAGTTAAAGGATAGAGTGAAGATCTGAGTCCAGAATGACCAACTAGGCTGCGATTATCAAGCTATCAGTATTTTACTGTGCTCCATACATGGTTGAAAAGTCGAGCAAAAAGGAAAGCTTGCTATTATGCATTATGTTGGTGCATGAAAAGTTTTTGATGCATGAAGTTTTTGACAAGCTGTTTTAGAGTAAAGTATTTCCATGACAGCATTTGAAATCTTGACCCTTGAACAATATGGGGGTTAGGAATGCCAACTCTGCAAGTGAAAATTTGTGTATAACTTTACAGTTGGCTCATTATGTCCATGGATTCAAGCCAAGATTGTGCACAGTACTGTAGTATGTATTTAGGGAGAAGAATGCATATAAGTGGACCCTGGCAGATTAAAACCATGTTCAAGGATCAGCTGTACTATAGCTTTTACAACCTATTGTCAGTCCTGTTTGAGCATGCAAATGCCTTATCTAATTTGGATTGGGCATCCTTAACTTAGGCCTGGAAAACAGGAATTGAACTTAAAATCATGCTTGATCTCCTCTGGCATAATAGGTTTTAATATGAAGTCTGATGCTTTGAGTTGTAGTTCAGCAGATTTGGTGTCTGCTGTTTGTTTACCAAGTTGGAGAGGAGAGAGGGACACTGCATTGCACTGTACTGTTCTGCCTAACTTCTTTCCTTTGTCTTCCTAGGTGATGACCCCACAAGGAAGAGGTACTGTTGCAGCAGCTGCAGCTGCTGCCACAGCCAGTATTGCAGGGGCCCCAACCCAGTACCCACCTGGCCGTGCAGGTCCTCCACCACCTATGGGCCGAGGGGCACCCCCTCCAGGTGAGGAGCCCAGGAGGAGTCCATTGTTAATTGATAGAAGATGCCTTAGCTGGATTTATGATGAGATATAACCTTGACTGAAACTGATGATGAGTTTGTGTAATTAAGCAGGATTACTCTGAGATCCAGCTTGGTTGACTGACTTTGGAACTAGCCAGACAAGAGCTCTATCTCTGGCTCAAGTCCTAGTGCTAGGAAGGACTGGAAGGGTGGAATGGTCCCTCTGTCTTAGAATGTGGTGAACAGTTTTGTCTGTTTCCTGCTACCTTTATTACTTTTCCTGCTATGATGGACACTTGAGCTGTTTTCTTGGGACTTTTCTCTTGCAGGCATGATGGGCCCACCTCCTGGTATGAGGCCTCCCATGGGTCCCCCAATGGGGATCCCACCTGGACGAGGAACTCCTATGGGCATGCCGCCACCGGGGATGCGGCCTCCTCCCCCAGGGATGCGAGGTAAGTGCCTGTATTAGTGGCGTTGATTCCCTAGAGCTATGTTGGGTTAGGAATTAGAGAGAAGGTTGGAGTTAGACCATACCTTCTTGGCTTTTATGCCTTAAGTTTAGGGAAGTGAACACTTAGAGGACAACTTTGTTCAGAAAGGAAAGAGGGAACAAGCATTTCTTAAATGGAACTTACTTTGCTCTTAGAATAGTGAAAACCTCCCGGTACACAGTACTTCAGTGTCTAAGGCAGTATTCTCTGGTCATTGTAAAATAGTGCATTTTGTTGCATGACCAAGAAAGGTCTTAGGCCCTTTGGTTTGGGAGTGGCTAGTAATTAAGGAGGGATTCTGGGCTTTTCTGTACTATTTATTATGGATTATCTGTTTAACTCCAGTTTGAGAAATGCTGATGTAGATCAGTTCTCTTGTTTTATAGGTGAGAAACAGGCCCATAGACAGCTCAGGGTCCAGGCCAGGGTTCTTTTCATGAAGCCATAGTGGCCTATAAGTTAACCTGTGGCCAAACTGGCTGATCACTGTATTTATAGTTTTCCATTACTGAGCTTTATAAGCATAGGAGCCCATGGCCCCAGTGAAGTCCCCCTCTGATCATTTGGTAACTGCCGGGTGTGGGAGGCTGGGGTAGGGTGGGGATTTGAGTTGCAGATCAGGCACTGACTAAACTTCTTACTCTTACTTCAGGCCTTCTTTGACCTTGGCCACAGAGTTATGGAAGTAGCTCCACAGAGGCTTGGGCCTGATTCTCCAGGGCCACGTTACCACACCTGTTTGTTTGTTAAGCCGTTGTTCGCGGAGTCTCACCGGATTGTCTGGTTTCCCTTACAGGGCCCCCTCCCCCGGGAATGCGCCCACCAAGGCCCTAGGCTCATCTTGGCCCTCCTCAGCTCCCTGCCTGTTTCCCGTAAGGCTGTACATAGTCCTTTTACTTCCTTGTGGCCTGTGACACTAGTTTATAATAAACTCTTTAAGAGAATATTATAAATGCACCTAGTATGTTTGTTTATTTTCAGAAAAACCGTTGATGTATTGGGTGCTTGATAAGAATCAAGAAGGGTTGCTTTGGAAAAACTAGCCCTAATCCTTATTATTTCCCTTGTAAAATACTGTATTCATTTGCAGGGATGTACAGCCTCATTCAAGAGAATTACAAAATCAAACTGTAAGCAAACATTTTTACCTGTTCTACTGGCAGAACTAATTTTGTTAAAATTAATACTGTATTGATGAGGATTGTGAATTGGTATGTCCTCTTTGGAAGGCACTAATCAAGATAACGTCTTAAGCAGTACTTTATTTTCTTTAGAAACTAAATTTCCATCTTAAAGTTGAAAATTGGCAACAAGTCTTTACAATTTAGGATCTTCCTCCATAGCCTCTCTAAAGATCTCAATTCCTAAACTATACCATGAGCTCTGAAATGGTGTTCACCACACCATTCTGGAAGTTTTCACATCTTAAATGTGAGATCTGACACCTCTTGTTAACAAAGGCAACTGTTAAAAGCTGTCTTCCTCTTGGCTAACGCAGTCCACCAGCAATGTTAATAATTTACTATTTAAAAACAAAACTACTCTCAAGCATTGTTTGAAACTGTTAGGTTGGGCATCTTTTCCAGAGCATTCACTCCCTGAGAGAAAAGAGAGATCCTAACCAGTTGCTTCTACGGACAATAACCCCTTCGGTGTATATAACGTAATGTCCTTTGAAGCATAACTCAAAAGGTCAGGAATCCTTGGTCATCCTGACAAACATAATGGCATTTACATACGAGACATATCTGAAACTGATCCCAGACCAAGTATTGCAACCATAATCCCAAATAATTCCATTATTTAGCACACGAAATTCCTGAGTTGCCAGAGCTAGTGCAGAGTGATGGTTCATCATTTTTTACAAGTAAGAAAAAAAGCAAGAAGGAAAGGAAACTTCTTCCTAAATTTGTCAAATTGATGGCTATCTCTTCATGTCTTTGATATGATTGAGAGTCCTCAATTTCCTCATTTGAGGAGTCTGTTTCCAAAGTTACTGTCAAGATCAAGAAGCACTTTCAGGTTTTTCTTTGCCGTGGCCCAAGAACTCCAGTCTTTCAATAGGAATCTCCTCCTTCATTGCTTTCTAAACATACTGCTGGTAGCACTTGAAGAGGCCAGTGCATGGGTCCCTGGAGCCATCCTCCTTGAGGAACTTACTGGCAAACCAGCGATTGGAACAGGTTGGTTTCAAGAAAACAAGTCTTGATGACCTTGGGCTGCATTCTTATATTTGACACTAAAAGCTCAAGGGAAAAAAAAAAAATGGATTTCATCAGATTTGGAAATTGCATCAAAGGACATTATCAAGAATGTGAAAATGTAACTTACAGAATGGAAGAAAATATTTGCAAAGCATATATCTGATTTGTGTTTAAAATCCAGACTACTAATTTTATAAAAAGAACTTTGAAAACTCAGCTATAGATAAACAGCCCAATTAAAAAGTCAACAATGGAATACACATTTCTTCAAAGAAGATATACAAATGGACAACACGTGAAAAACTTCATCATTGGTCATTAAATTCAAAATCAAACCCACAATGAGATATCACTTTAACCCACTAGGATGACTTTAATGGGGAAAAAAAGCTGGCAAGGATCTGGAGAAATACTGCATTACTGGTAAGAATGTAAAATGTTGCAGCGACTATGTAAAATGATTTGGCGGTTCCTCAAAAAGATAAACAGTTACCATACAATTCTACTCTTAAGTATGTATCCAAGAGAAATGAAAATATATGTTTACACAGAAACTTGTATACAAATGTTTGTAGTAGAATTCATAACAGGCAAAAGGTGGGAACAGCCCAGCTGTCCATCAGTGGATTAATTGATAGGTAAATTGTGGGCTGTACATTCAATGGAATATTATTCAGCCATAAAAGGAATGAAATATTGATACTGCTACTACTTGGATGAACCTTGAGTATATTCTGCTAAGTAAAAGAAATTGATCTCAGACAGCAGTGAGCAGCCCTTAAGAGGGATATTCCTGCTCAGGAATTGAACTTGGGTAGCCTGGATGAAAGGGTTTCCCAGGTGGCACTAGTGGTAAAGAACCTATCTGCCAATGCAGGAGACATAAAGAGATAGGGTTCAATCCCCTGGAGGAGGGCATGGCAACCCACTCCAGTATTGTTGCTTGGAGAATCCCATGGACAGAGGAGCCTGGTGGGCTACAGTCAATAGGGTTGCAAAGAATCGGACATGACTGAAATGACTTAGCACACACGCACGCAGCCTGGATGAAAACCAGGAATCCTAGATACTACACCACCAGGGCCTAGAGGTTAGAAGGAAAATTTCTGTCTTACCCTTCTGAAAGAATGTTTCAAGGAGGCAGAAACTGAAAACAGGTGCAGTTTATTATTTGATACAGCATGAGATGTGGGAGAGCACAACAGAGAAACTGTTTATTTAATACAGGTGGATGAATCTAGAGCATGTATACAGTGAAGTAAGTAAAAAATAATGTATTAACACATGGATTCTAGAAAAATGGATATTGATGAAGCTATTTGCAAGGAAGGGATGGAGATGCAGATGTAGAGAATGGACTTGTGGATGCAGTGGGGGAGGAAAAGGGGGACAAATTGAGAAAGTAGCATCAGTGTGTATATATATATGTATATATATATATATATATATATATATACTATCAGGTGTAAGATGGATAGCTAGTGAGAAGTTGCTGTGTAGAACAGGGAGCCCATTCTGGTGCTGGGATCTTCATGATCTGGTGATGGGATCAGATGCCATGATCTTCGTTTTTTGAATGTTGAGTTTTAAGCCAGCTTTTTCACTGTTTCCATTGTTTCCCTATCCATTTGCCATGAAGTGATGGGATCAAATGCCATGATCTTCATTTTTTGAATGTTGAGTTTTAAGCCAGCTTTTTCACTCTCCTCTTTCATCTTTATCAAGAGGCTGTTTAGTTCCTTTTCACTTTCTGCCATAAGTGAATGGGGTGGCATATGCATATCTGAGGTTATTGATATTTCTCCCAGCAGTCTTGATTCCACCTTGTGATTCATCCAGCCTGGCATTTCGAATCATGTACTCTGCATAGATGTTAAATAAGCAGGATGACAATACAGCCTTGACGTACTCCTTTCCCTATTTGGAACCAGTCTGTTGTTCCATGTCTGGTTCTAACTGTTTCTTTTTGACCTGCATACAGGTTTCTCAAGAGACAGGTAAGGTGGTCTGGTATTCCCATCTCGAAGAATTTTCCACATTTTGTTGTGAACCACACAAAGAGGTGATTGAAGTCACTCATATAGGACAGTCCTTCAGTATCTTTGTTTACATTTGACCAATTGTTTCTTTCTTCACTCTTAATTAGTCCTTGGACCCTCCCCCAGATGCCTATGCAACATTTTTCTAAGATGGATTTCACCACAGAGGCTTGTGGGTACATGTCTGCACTTATTATGGGAGGTGTTGCTCCCTCCCTCCCCCCACTTTTTTAAGCTTTTTTATTTTTCTTCCCATTGTCTCTCCCTCCTTGATCCTCCCTCTACTTGTCCTGGTATTTCTTTCTTTTTTCTTTTTAATTTTTGGCTGTTCTGGGTCTTCATTGCTGCCAGGCTTCTCTAGTTTCAGTGAACAGAGCAGGGGCCACTCTCTAGTTGCAGTGCACAGGCTTCTCATTGTGGTGGTTTCTCTTGTTGCAGAGCACAGGCTCTAGGGTGCGTGGGCTGAGAGTTGTGGTTCCTAGACTCTAGAGCATAGGCTCAGTAGTTGCAGTGCCACAGGCTCAGTTGCTCTGTGGCATGTGGGATCTTCCTGGATCTGGGATTGACTTGTGTCTCCTGCATTGGCAGGTGTATTCTTTACCACTGAGCCACCAGGTTAGCCCTTCTTCCCTGTCTGACCCCCAAGGAGCCTTCTTCATGTGCAGACAGGGAAGTTTCCCTTGACCTCAGGAGTGGTCATCTTATCTCCATTTTAGCAGAACTCAGCTTCTTCCTCTAGCTTTGTCCTTGGAGTGTCTGGGTGAGAACAAAGCTCCAATTTTACTCCACTTAATAAGCACCATCTGCCTAGTCCAGGGGCCTGTTTATCTCTTATCTCAAAACTAGACCCAGCAGGGGATATATGGCTCCTTTTTGTTTTTAGTTTGCATGTTCTTCTTTTTAAATTGAGATATTTGTTGTCGTTGTTGTTCAGTCACTAAGTCATGTCCAACTCTTTGTGATCCCATGAACTGTAGCATGCCAGGCTTCTCTTCCTTCACTATCTCCTGGAGTTTGCTCAAACTTGTCCATTGAGTTGGTGATGTCATCCAACCATCTCATCCTCTCTCACCCCCTTCCCCTCCTGCCCTCAATCCTTCCCAGCATCAGGGTCTTTTCCAACGAGTTGGCTCTTCACATCAGGTGGCCAAAATATTGGAGTATCAGCTTCAGCATCAGTCCTTCCAGTGAATAGGGTTGACTTCCTTTAGGACTGACTGGTTTGATCTCCTTGCTGTCCAAGGGACTCTTAAGAGTCTCCTGCAGCACCACAGTTCGAAAGCATCAATTCTTTGGCACTCAGCCTTCTTTATGGTCCAGTTCTCACATCCATACATGACTACTGGAGAAACATAGCTTTGACTATATGTACTTTTGTTGGCAAAATGATGTCTGCTTTTTAATAACGCTGTCTAGGTTTGTTATAGCTTTTCTTCCAAATAGCAAGCATATTTTAATTTTATGACTGCAATCACCATCCAAAGTGATTTTGGAGCCCAAGAAAATATGCCACTGTTTCCATTTTTTCCCCATCTATTTGCTATGAAGTGATCGGACTGGATGCCATGATCTTTGTTTTTTTGCATGGTGA